CAAAACTTTCGGATAAAAAAAAAAAATAGTGTGTGAACAGTGGAACGTCAATATTGGTATCGCACTGTTCACCCTCACGTGAATCGCCAATATTTTTTCTTTGGCGATTGGTTGGAGCAAACGACGGACGTCAAATAAATGTAAGGCGTTCGGCTGGAGATGATATGAGCAAAGTTCCCATGCTTCCTCCAAAAATTTAGATTTATCAATTTGTCTGTAAGCATAAAATAATCAAAAGTGCACATTCTTTTCTCAAAACAAAAGATGAACTACTTAGAGATGCTCCACTAATCCAAAACCACTTTCTTCAGGCATCAATTACAGTACCATCTTAGCGATTACATCCTGAAGCATGACATAATAAGCACAGATACATCTCCATCAATCCTTCTATTAAGCTCTTTTTTCACCTTTTATGAAATTTCAGACCAGTATCTGAATGATAAGTTCATCCTCAAGTAATCATTTAAAAGTTTCAATAAATATCTCAGACCATCTTTCCCTCTTAAAATAATCGACAACAAGCTAATGGCAAGATGGTCCGTTCACTTCATTTCTTATAACAACAAACATACAGGCAAAGAAAATAACAAATTAATATGTTACAGCTCGTTAGAGTTCAAAGAACTCTAAAATCTCTTCCTAAACAATAGAGCAGAGAAAAAAGGGGTGGCCATGGCCCATGGGTGGGAAGAATTATTCTGTGCGGAGTGCGGAGGGTGTCCGGAGACAAATAAAAATACGTCACGTCACTTTATTGGTGGGTACCCAGCTCGGCACCGGCACTCGGTACCGCTGGGTACCCAGTGCCGGTCGGTTCTCCCGTCTGGTCTCCGTACAGAATAAAAGCTCCATGAGTGGAGAGCAATTAAGCTTTAGAGCAGTCCTCTGAGGTGTAACCACTGGTCCCCGGCGTCTTTGATTGTTTGAAGAGCTGGGGATGATTGAACGAACTAAGCTTCCAAAGATCCTGGCCTTCACTTGGCCTCTTCTTGGTAGAGGGTTCCCTTTCTTCTCAAAGTGCTGCCTTTGGCACTCCATTCCTTGAAGCAAACAGAGCTTAAAGTCTTCTGCGGAGTTGGGGAGAAAAGTAGGATGGGGAGAGAAGGCTTTTTGGATTTGAACTGAGATGATGAAGGCAACTTTATAGCTGGATTTATTAGAGTGTGGGTGTTCGGGTTCCTTGGAACGCAAGATTTCAGTGCAAGACCTGGGTTGATGTTGATGTTGATGATCTTAGAGTGGGCTAATAGGCAGGCAAGCCATTTGGGGTCATTTGTATTCTATATGACATCACAGATTAAATTATAAAAAGGAGATGCTTTCACAGGAATGAATGAAAGGAAATTTATAGAAAACAATTGGATTTTTTTTTTTTAAATCATTTGACTATGTAAAAATAATTATGATAAATGAATTAAAATAATAACCAACTTGAGGAAATTTGTCAAAAGACAAAAATGAGCTGCAACAAAAATAGAGCAATGCTAAAAAAAGAGCAACTAGAACAAAGGACCTAACACTTCAAAAAAATCATTTTGATCAAGCACAAATTTTGAGATATATTCAAATTGTGATATTCCAAAATTAAATTCAGAATCATCTGAACTCAAATTTCAGCAAACTTATAGTTAAATTGAATATTTCAGTAAGACGAACCCAATGACACTAAAATCGATCCAATTTGTGCCTAGATGGGCCAAATCAATGGACCAAAGCATATTTAGAAGCATAGAAGCATTAATTGGCTGATAAAAGGATATCCAAATATGGCCTTCTTATAGTTCAATCAAGTGGCTCGACGAAAGGAATCCAACAAGCTGAAGATTGCTTAATTCTGACATCTTTAAGGCACATAAATGCTTGATGAACACTCTATGATTTAGGGAATCAATATGGACATCCAATATAGCACTCCGAATTAACCCTATATCTATTAGAATATAAACATTACCGTTTTAGTTATTCACTTTATTGCCATTGTAAAACTCTTTATATTGAGTACCATCTGTATAGTTCATATTATGAATAATATTTCTCTTTCTGCTTTAATCTTCTTGGATCTGTTTCTTCCGCTTTCCTCCTCCTCACGGTTCTTGCTGTGACTCTATCATGGTATCAAGAGCCACAATGGGAGATCAAGAATCCATCATTTCTCTCCCTCCCACCTCCGCAGCCTTCTCGGCGTCCAACTCCACGGCTTTCAGCATTCCAACCAGCTTCAAATTTCTAGTTTCCAACATCAAGAACCTCATTCTGTACCCCCTCACCGCTGAAAACTATCCCATTTGGGGTACACAAATCCTACAACAATTCCTTGCAAATGATTACGCTGGGCATCTCACCGGACAAGTCGCTCCTCTGGCAGACAACTCCACCGCCGAATACAATATCTGGCAAACGGCGGACAGTAACCTTCTCTCAGCTCAATTCTCTACCATTTCTCAATCTATTCTTCCTTACATCATCACCTCCACCACCACTCATGAGGCTTGGACGGTTCTTGAACGTCGTCTCAAACCCACTAGCCGATCCCGTGTCATCCAACTAAAGAACGAACTATACCACGTTCAACTCAAAGATTTGAGCATTCAACAATATCTTTCCAACATCAAATCCATTGTGGATAACATCTTCGCCTCTGGATCCAAGATAGATCCCGAAGATACGATCATCCACATTCTCAAGGCAAAAATCAGAAAAGGTTCACAAAGAGCAGACTGGCTCCAGCTTCTTCCGCAAATCCGGTGAACTCGTATGCGCCAAATCCCGCTCCAACGGCACAGTGACCTCTATGCCAAATATGTGGCAAAACTAGACATGTCGCACTAAATTGCTAATACATATGCAATTTCAAATAGGCTCCGACCGTCTCCCGACCTCCTCGCGCGTTTCTTGCAAATTCATCTCCGACTACCACCCAAGATTGGGTACTGGACACCGACGCATCTGCACACCTAACGCCAGATGGTAGCAATCTTCATCCCTCCAACCCTTACCACGGTCAGGACACTGTCTCAATAGCAAACGGTACACCTCTTCCAATTCAAAACTCTGGCCAAGGCCTTCTTCCCCTTCCCGACACGCCACGTAAGCTTCGCCTACGCAATCTCCTTCACGTTATGTCTTTAACACATAATTTACTATCATTTTCAAAACTAACCGCGGACAATTCAATTTCTATATGCTTTGATTCTAATGGGTTTGAAATCAAGGACTTGCAGGATAAACGCTTGCTTCTTAGTGGGCGTCTTCATAACGGTCTCTACCAGATCCAACCCTCACCGACTCAGTCGCACACCACCCTCTCCGCCAGCACAAAGAACTCCCACCTCTGGCATTCTCGGCTGGGTCACCCGAACACCAAGCTCATGCCGATTCTAGCTTAGCACTTACCCGATCTTACCAGGATGTCACACTCTTTCATTTGCACATCTTGTAATATGGCCAAAAGTCATAAACAATTCTTTAATAGAAGTTCTTCTAGTACTACTTCTCTGTTTTCTTTAATTCATAGGGACGTTTGGGGGCCAGCTCCGGTAAATTCGACAGACGGCTACCGATTCTACATTGTCTTCATCGATGATTTTACACGTTATTCTTGGCTCTATTTCCTGCATACTAAGCAAGAATCCCTCTCCAAATTTAAAATTCTATGCAATTATATTAAAACTCAATACAATCAAACACCTAAAGTTCTCCGATCGGACGGCGGCGGCGAATATACTAGCAATGAATTTCACCGGTACCTTCTTGACAACGGCATTGCTCACCAGTTCAGTTGCCCTCATACCCCAGAGCAAAATGGTCTCGCCGAACGCAAGCACAGGCACCTACTTGAACTAACCCGCACTCTTCTTCACGCCGCTAGCCTTCCAAACAAGTTCTGGGTTGATGCTATATCCACAGCACAGTACCTCATAAATTGACTTCCTTCAACCTCGCTCTCGTCTCATTCGCCACATCAACTGCTTCACGGTAAGCCCCCTACCTATGCACATTTACGTAGTTTTGGCTGTCTTTGTTTTCCCTGGCTACGACCTTACACTACCAACAAATTAGAACCGAGATCCGAAGAATGTGTCTTTCTTGGATACTCATCACAACACAAGGGATACAAATGTTTTAATCATGTTACTGGCAAAACCATTATTTCTCGTCATGTGGTTTTCTACGAGACAACATTTCCCTTCAATTCTCCACATAAGTCTCTATCCATGAACATGGCAGCACCTCCGAATCATATTTCACCGCTTCTTCTTACACCTGCTTCGGTCAATACTTCCTCCCAGAACTTACACTCACCCGTGAATATGCCTACTTCTCCACTTACACACACTTTTCCCATCTCACCCAATGCACGGCACAACCCAGTCACTGAAGTTGACATTACTCACGCACCTACAACCACAACTGTTCAACCCATTCTCAATTCGTTTCAGCCCACTCACCATATGCAAACGAGACTTAAATTGGGAATTTCAAAACCAAAACAAATTTTAAATCTCTTCAGTCATACGACGGCTCCTGTCACCCCTCACCTATAAACAAGCCTCCAAGCACAATCACTGGCAACAGGCCATGCTAGATGAATTTAATTCCTTGCAGAAACTTGGTACCTAGACTCTTGTCCCAACACCACCAAACAAACCGGCACTTGGATGCAAGTTGACGTACAAAACGAAGCTTCTACCGACCGGCCAGGTTGACTGCTACAAAGCCAGACTTATAGCACTCAGATACGATCAACGTTACGGCATCAATTACACGGAGACGTTTAGTCCCGTCGCAAAAATGCCCACAATCCGCCTGCTCTTAACACTCGACGTAAATCGACAATGGCCAGTTCTTCAACTGGATGTCTCAAAAGCTTTCTTGCACGGTGATCTTCCGGATGAAATTTACATGCAGCAACCGCAAAGTTTCGTCGATCAAAATCACCCAAATTGGGTCTGCAAACTACACAAGTCCTTATACGGACTCAAACAAGCTCATCGCCAATGGTTATAGAAGCTAACAACCTGTGTCTTCAATCAAAAGGATTCGGGTTTAGTCGTTCTGATCCATCTTTACTAGTTTTTCATCATAACAATATTTCCATATTCATTTTAATTTATGTTGATGATATTCTGGTGACAGGTAACGATCAAACAGCTATACAGCAGCTCCTTCAACAGCTACAGCTTCAATTTGCCCTGAAGCAATTAGGACAAATTTCTCTCTTTCTTGGCATACAAGTCCTCCGGTCCTCAACAGGCTACTTTCTTACCCAACAGCACTACGCCTCAAAACTAATTCATGATGCCAGTTTTCAAGACTGCAAGTCCGCTCCGACGCCGGTATCTCTGTCCGCAAAGAACAAACACGTCGACTGCAAACTGCTCTTTCTTGGCATACAAGTCCTCCGGTCCTCAACAGGCTACTTTCTTACCCAACAGCACTACGCCTCAAAACTAATTCATGATGCCAGTTTTCAAGACTGCAAGTCCGCTCCGACGCCGGTATCTCTGTCCGCAAAGAACAACCACGTCGACTGCAAACCGTTTCACGATCCAACCCTTTACCGCCGTTTAGCAGGAGCTCTTCAGTATCTTTCTATCACCAGACCTGAAATAGCGTTTGCCACTAACATGGTGTGTCAACAATTGCAGGATCCTACTACACAAGATTTTCAAGATCTCAAGCGCATCCTACGGTACGTCAAAGGAACAGTCACATTTGGTCTTCCAATCCAGCGTGGTCCGCTCGAACTTCACTCCTACACCGATGCGGACTGGGCATCGGACGCTACTGATCGGAAATCCATCTCCGGGTCGTGTACCTTCCTCGGACCAACTCTTATCTCCTGGTCCGTCAAAAATCAAATCACAGTTGCTAAATCTTCCACAGAGGCAGAGTATTGATCGCTATCCGCCACCACCTCTGAAGTCATTTGGCTTCGACATCTTGCCGCCGAGCTACTTCTTCCACAACAGTCCCCAACTATCATACACTGTGACAACACTTCGGCCATGGCTCTTGCAAAGAACCCTATCTTCCATGCCCGAACAAAACATATTGAAATAGACTAAAGGGGGGGGGGGGGGGGACTTGGACTTTTGGGCGCTCAAATCCTAGGCTAGAGACTCACGAGAGTTTTGAGCCTTGAAGCATCCCGGAGCTCCACCCTAGCACCACCTTTGGCGAACCCAAGCCATTAGGCTGTCGTTGCTGGATCTCTGCCCGACCATCATCGTCGGACCTCTGCCCAACATCTATCATCAGGCCTTCGTCCGACCACCGTCACCCGTTGAATCTGAACCCTTCTATTACCATCAACCATCGAATATGGTCTAACCACCATCTCCTTCCGACTATGATCCCCTCAAGCAACATCACCCACTGACTATTGTTCCTCCTGCCACTATTATAATAATCCAAAAATGAAAATTATTTTAAAACATGATTTTTTTGAATTTTTGTTTAAAACATGTATATATATATATTACATTTTTATGGAGTCCTTCTCTTCTAATACCCGTCACTAATGAGGAGGTCCACACAGCAATGCTCTTAGGCTACTCTATTTTTGCCCATGATCGGATAGTTTCAATTTTGATTTTTTTAAGAAAACTTGGAACATCATTATCCCATTGGTTTGCAATGCTGTTAGATCTTTCTTTATTAAATGATATCTCCTTAAAGGTGACAAAGCTACTGTCATATCCCTCATTCCCAAAAGTTCCATGCTGAGAATATCCAAGATTTTAAACCTATCACTCTTTGCAATGTATTTCATTAAATCATAATAAAGGTTCTTGCTACCCGTATGAAAGTGATTATGCCAGAGATCATACACCATAGCCAAGCATCATTCATTTCGAAAAGACTTTCTATAGACAATCCCATTTTGGCGGAAGAAATTCTTAGCATGTTAAAAAAGAACAACAAAAATAGATATTTTTATACTAAATTCTTCATCAGGAAAGCATTCGACACAATTTCTAGGGAGTTCCTCTTTGTGAGAATGTCTCATAAAGGTTTTTCATCTCTTTTCATCAATTGGATTAAAGCCTGTATTAATGAGATTCATTTTTCCATTTGCATTGATGGGGCACTTAAGGGGCTTTTCACCTCTCCTTGGGACTCTTGCAAGGATGCCCTCTTATTGCGTATCTTTTTTGCATCATAATGGATACTATATCATGTCTCAATGACTCTCCTAAATCTTCTAAAAGGTTTGAAGGCTTTAAATTAGAGAGGTTTCACCTATCTCATCTCTCTTATACGGATGACTTGCTAGTGTTTAGGAAGGCTATCATTCATAACTGTGATTGTCTCGTGAGAATCCTTAATACTTTTTCTAATTACTCTGGTTTGCATCTTAGCCTACAAAATAACTCACTCCTTATCTCTCCACACACTCCACTATCCCCAGATATCTCAAACTCTCTTCAATTTCCTAACACTTACACCAAAATTTTTTATTTAGGATTGACCATCTCTATGATAAAAACTAAACTATTTGATTTTTCTCCAATGATAGAAAAAATTTACTGGCCTCCTTTTGGGCTAGAAGGCCAGATTTCTCTCTTTTGCATGTAGGATAAAATTTGTCAAGTTTACAATTACCAATATGTTGGTGTATTGGATTTGTGGCACTATTATTCCAAAATCAATTTGTAAGGCTATAAGGAAACTTTGCTCGAAATTTCTTTATTATGGGGGCTATCAACTCAGACACCTTCACCTTATATCATGGTATATTACTTGTAAGCCCCTATCCAATGGCGGTCTTGGGATTGTTTCTCGTCAAGCTTTAAGATCTGCTTTTAATTTTGGAACAATTAATAGACGTTACAACCTTCCATCCCCTCTCCCAACTGGCTAATCACTAGATATATTTCTCCATGGAAACCTTTTCAACCTAATGCTACTGCATTATGGAAGAGTGTCTACAACACCGCCTTACTGGTCAAAAATAAATTCAAATTCCACATCATTCAAAAAAGACTTGTTGTTGTTCATTGGGATTATTGGTGTTTGGGAGACATGTTTACCTCCAAATTTCCAGAATTACCTCTGTCCACCAAGTGCAACTATAATGCTAGACTTGCTGATTGGATTCTTCACAACAACCGGGTTATCCCGGACTTAGTCCTCATATCAAAGATTTTATCTCTTTCATTCCAATTTATCTAAACTCTACTAATCATGTTTATTAGAAGACAAAAGCATAACTTAATAAAGCCCACATCTGCTAGGATGACTAATTCTTCCTATAGCAACTATACACGTGTATTCATGTAAATGCAAGTCTTTATATAGCTTGTAGTAAAGTGACAAGAAATACAGTATGATTCAGAATAGTTTCTCAACTCATTCATTGGCCTCTTGATTACTATTGTTCTGTTTCTATTAGCTCTTTATGGTATCAGAGCGTGTCCGTTTATGTCGTATCCTCCACAGCGAACTCCGCTTCTTCTCAAATTGGAGATCTATCATCAAGCGCAACGGAGAACTCAGGTATTCCTACACAGCTCAAATTTCTTATCTCAAACCTCTGAACGCTAGTTCCGACTCAGCTCTCCACCGACAACTACTCGATTTGGAGGAGCTATATCATCAGACTATTTAGGGAAAATGGGTTTGAAAATTTACTTGAACCCATCGGTATGCCTCCGTCCTCACGGCACAATGGCGTCAAATCCTGCTTACACCAAATGGCACATAACAAATCAAAATCTGTCTGCAACGGTGTGCTCCACAATTTCCTCCTCGGTACTACCTTATGTTCTTCATCTTGAATCCACATCAGAAATCTGGAAGATACTTGAAATCATATTTCAATCAACTAACTGATCCAAAGTCATCCAGCTCAAGAACGAGCTACATAATGTCTCTATGAAGGCGCTCTCTATGACACAATATCTGACAGAAATCAAGATTCTGGTGGATCAGATCGCGGCAGCAGGTTCTACGATAGATGATGAAGATATAATCATGTATATCTTGAATGGTCTTCCACCTCCTTATCAAGCGTTCAAGACTGCGATAAGAATGACTCTTACTTCGATCAATCTTGACAACTTGTACGCGCTATTAATAAGCAAATAAATTCACATAAATGTAGAAAATGCCAAAATTTCCATGAATCCAAACTCACAAACCGCATTATATACATATATAGGAAGAAATAAACGAAATCATGGACGGTATCCGCAAAATACTACCTCCAACACATGGGCTCCATCTCAATCAGCTATAATCTGTCAAACATGTAACAAGAGAGGGCATATGGCTTCAGATTGCTGGCACGGACTCAACATAAACTATATGCCATCTGCTTCGTCATCCATCCACTACTAACAAAGCTTTGGTCGCTACTACTGAACCAGCAATGACTGACTAGTACCTGGACTCTGGAGCTTCGTCACACATGATGAATCTTGAGGATAATCATTCACAATTGATGCCTTATAAGGGGTCCAACACGGTAACCATCGGAGATGGGAGGACAATTTTGATTGCCCACTCGGGCACTAGTATCCTTCCAACTCCGCCTCGTAAGCTCCGCTTATCTCATCTTCTTCATCTTCCAAACATATCTCACAACCTTATTTCCATTTCAAATCTTGTAAAAGATAATGATATATCTATTACATTTGATCTGTTGGGTTTTTTGTTCAAGGATCTGAAGACAGATCAAATCCTCCTCAAAGGCCCCTGTACAGATGGTCTGTATCCCATATCCTCCAATCTGGGTCGGCCGACACCATCAGCATTCCAAGCGATCATGCATTCCTCGGACAGATGGCATAATCGTCTGGGGCATCCCCATCACAAGATTACTCATCTTATTGCTAGCAGCAATCCTTACCTTTCTATAACACACTCTACTTCTATTTGTAATTCTTGCAAAATGTGTAAAGCTCACAAATTACCATTTGAGAAATCACTCAATAGGAAATTTTACTCCACTGGAACTTATACACTCAGATGTTTGGGGACTGCCACCGATCTCATCTAATCAAGGTTTCAAATACTATGTCATTTTCATAGATGACTTCTCACATTTTATGTGGTTATTTCTGATTATGCACAAATCTGATGTTTATAATATTTTCGTAAATTTCAAAATATTTGTAAAAAATCAATGGTCTCATAAAATAAAAACCATCAGAACTGATGGTGGTCGTGAATATCTCAATCACCAATTTACACAATTTATTTCTCAAAACGGTATTCACCACCAAATCTAGTGTCCTTACACACCGGAACATAATGGTCTGGCTGAACGTAAGCATAGACACATTCTTGAAACAACTAAGACACTTTTGCACCATGCCTCCATTCCTCACAAATTCTGGCTTGATTTAGCTCTAACTGCGGTTTATCTGATAAATCGCATGCCCTCCAAAACTACCAAAAATATCTCTCCTTTTTAGCTTTTTCATAATATCAAACCTTCATACTCTCATCTACGGACATTCGGCTGTGAATGTTTTCCATTAACTCCTCGCCATACTCGCAATAAACTTCAACCCAAATATATATCTTGTGTATTTCTAGGTTATTCGGACAACTACAAAGGGTACAAATGTTTACAAAAAGAACGCAACATCATTCACATTTCAAGACATGTCATGTTTTCTGAAGACTCTTTTCCTTTTCAAAAGTCTATCCCTCAACAATCCAATCCATCTACCTACATCCAGCCATCATTTCTCATACCAATCTCCAATTCTTAATATATCAACAACGACCCATCATATTTCCAAGAAAATATTTGCTCTTCTAGCAACACTCATCAATCTCCTGTTAATCATAATACTCTATCTACTCAAGAAACACAACTCATCAACATTCCATCTCCGCACAAGCCAAGTCCGTTGCCTCGGCCTACAAGGCATCCTATGACCAC